CAAATACTCTACATCTTCCAAATAAAAACCGAAAGAACTGCGGATGCTGTAAATCAGGAACAAAAACAGAAGTTGCTGGAAAAGCTCAGCAGGTCTGGCAGCATCTGTGAAGAAAACATCAGAGTTAACGTTTTGGATCCGGTGACCCTTCTTCAGAACTTAGGGGTCTCGCTATGAGGCAACAGCATTTATGTTGCACCTTCAGTGTGGTAAGGTGTCTCACCGGAGCTGTAGCAAAAAAATGCTTTGACATTGGGCCACAGAAGGAAATATCAGGAAAGGTGACCAAAAGATTAGTCAAAGAGTGGTATGTGCTATGTGGTCAGCAAGGAATCTTTACTGATGTAGCAATGCTTATGTTATCCCTTCTTAAAAAAAGGCAACCAGGATGCAACATCTGGGCTAAGACAGAGTCTGAGAGTTTTATCTCCTCAGGTTACATGTTATGATGCAATGATGATATCATGAGCATGTCTCTTAAAAGAATGCTGATAAATTGTGTCTCTTAAAGGTATACTGACAGACTTTTAAAGGAAGTGGCTGCCGAGATAGTGGAGGCAATGGTTGTAATATTCCAGAACTCATTGGATTTCAGGAGGGTTCTAGCAAAATGGATAACCATCGATACGACGATCCTGTTCAAGAAGGGTAGGGGACAGAAAGCAGGACACTATAGGCCAGTTAGCCTAGCATCTGTCATTGGGGAAAATGCTAGAGTCTATTATTAAGGGAAAAAATAGTAAAACTCAATGCAATTAAACAGGGTCAAAATGGGTTTGTGAAAGGGAACTCATGTTTGACAAATTTGCTAGAGTCCTTGAGGATAGAACAAGCAGAGTTTGCTAAAAGGGGCCTGGTAGATGTAGTGTATCTGGATTTCCAGAGGCTGTGTGACAAGGCACAACATAAAAGATTATTGCACAAGTTAGGAACTCAAGGTATTCAACTAATGGATTGGCGATTGGTTAACACACGGAAGACTGAGAATCATGATTAATGAGCATTTTTCAGGTTAGAAAGACATAACTGGCAGAGTTCCACAAGGATCAGTCCTAGGGCTTCAGTTATTTACTATCTATACCAATGACTTGTAGGAGGGGCAGAATGTAATGTAGTCAGATTTGCTCATGATACAAAAATAGGTTGGAGGTCATGTTCTGATGAGGACATCAGCAATCTGCAAGGGCATATTGACAGGCTGAGTGAGTGGGCAAAAGCTTGGCAGATGGAGTTTATTGTAGGAAAGTGTGAGGTTATATATTTTCGTAGGAAGGATCAAAAAGTTCTACAATTATTTAACTGGAGAGCAACTTCAAAAATCTGCAGCACAGAGGGATCTGGGTATTCTTGTGCATAAAATAACTTTGAATGGACATGCAGCAAGTCATTAAGAAGACAAATAGAATGTTAACCTTTATTGCTAAGGGTTTCAAGTTAAAAGAAAGGGAAATTTTCTTGTAACTGTTCAGGGTATTGGTGAGGGTGTACCTGGAATACCATGCATAGTTTTGGTTCCAATATTTAAGAAAGGCTGGTATTGGAGGCAGTTTAAAAGAGATTCACTCAACTGACTCCTGGGATGAAGAGGTTGATTACCAATAATGGCTAAACAGGTTATACCTTTACTCATTTGAGTTTAGAAAATTGAAATATTATTGATGCATGATAAGGTAAAGGTTGAGAAGATGTTTCCCCTTGTGGGAAATCTCAAACTAGTGGTCACATTTACAAAATAAGGGGAGATTCATTTAAAAGTTATTTGCAAAGGAATTTCTTATCCCAGATAGCAGTGAATGCCTGAAATTCTCTACCCTAGAGACTTGTGGAGGCTGTGTCACAAAAGTAGTTAAAGAGGCAGTATGATGTTTCAGTGGTTAGTGCTGCTGCACCAGGGACCCAGGTTCGATTCCACCCTTGGGTGACAGACTGTGAGGAATTTGCACATTCTCCCTGTGTCTGCGTGTCTTCCTCTGGATGCTCTGGTTTCCTCCTACAAGAATTGAGGTTAGGTGGATTGGCTATGATAAATTGCCATGTGGTGTGCAAGGATATGCAGGCTGGGTGGATTAGCCATGGAAAATGCAGGGATAGGGTAGGGGGGTGGATCTGGGTGGTGTACTTTTTGGAGGGCTGATGTGGATTTGATGTGCTGAATGGCCACTGTTGGAATTCTATAAGGAGGTAGATAGGTTTGTAAAATATCAGCTGTGAGGAGCTAACAGGAAAGAGGAATTGAGGCTTGGGCAGATCAACCATGGCCTTATTAAATGACAAGGCAAGTTTGAAGGGCTAAACAATTTACTCTGCTCCTGTTTCTCATGTACTGACAGCATGATGTAGCACAGCTGAAAGCATCATGAGGGGTGATGAGGAATGGCAAAATAGATGTTTGGGAAGGAATTCCAGAGCCTTAGGGTCCTGTTAGCTGAAGACATGACTGCCTAATGGTGATGGAATTAAAATGAGGAATGCTGAATGGACCAGCATTGGTTGAGCACTGATATTTTATGGTTGGAGGAGATTACAGAGATAGAGAGGGGCAAAACCATGGCGAGATCTGAAAATGAAAGTGCGATGTTTAAAATCAAGGCTTTTCTTGACCATAGCCAGCAAGCACGGAGCTACATTTGGTGTGAACCAGGATGTGGGGAAAAGAATTTCTGGAGACCTCAAACTCCAGAGGATCTGTCAAGATCATAATTAAGTACTGTTCAGCCAGAAACACAATACACAGTGTTCCAGAGAATCCATCAGAGAAGTGTACCTAAAGGTTCAAAAATCAAACTATAAACCTCAATCTCAACCAAACTAGACAATAGTGAGACATATTGGATATGGCTTGCAGCCGAATATAAAATGCTGCAATTTACTTTGATGAGTACCTAAGCTAAAAATCCCTTTGGAACCCTTCTGGAATTTTTAATGAGCAAACTAAGGTCAGGGTCTTTCAGCTCAATGATTAAAATGTCCTGACCCTCGGCTTGTTAATGTCTGTTATAAATGAATCCAGTGAGAGGGAGGGTGCGTGTCCAATTGTGCTGTGGTGTCATGGAAGATTCAATCAATTCTTAAAGGTCACAGATGTCTTAGAATGTCATTATTTTATGTGAAAGTTTGATTTAACTTTGCTTTTCACGAAGTTCGACCACGCAAAGGACTTTACTTAAAATCTCGAGAATAAAATCCTGGGATTCACAACATCATTCCTTTGAATCCAGCATTCCTGTTCAACAATGTCTGCTAATCAGATACTGATACTCCATCTGATGCAAGACTCCTACATATCTGACATGTGGCTGTGTGTCTGAAACAGGCCCTGGACTTGGGATAGATGCCGTAACTAGACCCCAGCACTTAGTATTTAGCTGGAGTATGATTGACTCAAAATGTCCCTGCGAGGAACCCCAGTGAACCACTTGGTTTTCTGGTTAACAAGGGATAGGGAAATAAATACTAGTCTTCTCAGATCAATACATCCACAGTACTGATTAAAACGTGAAAGGTGTTCCAAAGTCACATCTTGCTGCATTTGCTCCACATGTGGTTCTGTAAACATCGCCTTGGTTCTATTACCTTCTTGGTAATTTTCTGGCCGATGAGCTGATCTGGTACCTTCCATAGTACCAACTGCTGTGAGCCCTACAGCGTATGGAGACACCCTCAGATTCCTCCCAGTCTATTTGACACCCGAACATGAAGTGCTGATCAATCAATCTGGAGTTACAAAATTTTGGGCATCAATCGGTGAAGTATCTGACATACCGGATAAGAGAAGAAATCATGCCATTCAAAGGTTGCAGCTAATCACAGAGGAATAAATTCATTGAGGAGTGTCACTGATCAATGATCTAGTCCCTGATCTGTCCTTGCATTAGTTCAATGTGCGTACAAATAAGAAAACACTAACAGCTCTTAAAAAGAGAGAGAGAGAGTGCAGAAATGATTTACAAGAGTGATTCCAGGAATGAGAAACTTCAGCAATCAGAATGGATTGAAGAAGCTGAGATTGTTTTGCACTGGGGAGAAAAATGCTAAGAAGAGATTTGATAGAGGTTTTCGAAATCATGAGCGGACTGGATAGAGTAAATCAAGAGAAGCTGTTCCCACTCATAAGGGAAGCAAGATCAAAGGGGCATAGGTGTAAAGTAATCTGCAAATAAAACAAGGATGATCAAAGATAAATTTTTTCACACAGCAAGTAGTTAGGGTCTGGAATGCACTACCTGGAAATGTGGTGGAAGCAGGTTCATTTAAAGCATTCAGGAGGGGCATTGGGTTATTATTCAGATACAAATACTGTGCAGGGTTATGGAGATAAAGGAGAAGATTGGCACTAGGTAATAGAACTGGTGTGGCCATGATGGGCCGAATGGCCTCCCGCTGTGTTGTAGCAATTCTGTGATTCCAGCATCATGTGTGACTTCCCAGTCCTGGTTGTCCCGAGAAGCTGAACCGGAAGGAGTGAGCAGCACCCAGCAGCAGCCAGCCCACTGTAACTAGTGAGAGTAGCTGGGTCATTCAGTGTGAAGCTGGTGTGTATGCTCACATTTGACTTCAATTCCACATACAGGAGAAGGCAAAAAAAAAATCCCTATCAGCCAGAAAGTGCGAATGAAGCCTGGAAACCAGAGATATTTAAGAAATAAATAGATGCTGGGATTTTGCAGAACTAATATAAAACAATCCCCTACACTTCCTTCATTGGGACCATTCAGGCCCGTGCTTTCAGTGCAGATGGTCTATTGAATGCAGCATGCTGCATATTCATTCAGCCATTTAATAAGCCATTTTCAAAATAAAACAAAAGAGAAATGCATTGACAACCTCATGACATCCTAAACTGGTTTGCCACTGATGCAGTATATTTGAAGTGCAGTCGCTGTTGTAAATGTTTAAATATTTAATGCGAATCTTGTGTTGTCGGGATGGTTGAATCTCAGCATATGACCCTGTAGCTAATTATTAACTTCTCCCCCACCGTTCCCTGTGTTTTCTTACAGATATCACAGATGACAGTCCCTCGGATAAGAAAGGTCCGCTGCACACCGGTGTGGTAGTGGGCATTGTGCTGGCAGTTATTGTCATCGCTGTCATTATTCTGGGCATCATCTACATTAGCAGTCATCCCCTGTCTCCCGCTGCCTTATTTTTTATTGAGGTGAGCTGCAATTTCTTTTATGATACCAATTAAAATGAAATGGATACATATCTGTTGGCAGGGTTGGAGGGTTTGAGCAATAGAGAGAGGCTGAATAGGCCAGGGCTATTTTCTCTGGCGCGTTGGAGGCTGAGGGGTGACCTCATAGAAGTTTATAAAATGATGAGGGATATGTATAGGGTAAATAGACAAGGTCTTTTCCTGAGGGTAGGGGAGTCCCAAAGGGCACAGGTTTAAGGTGAGAGGGGAAAGATTTAAAAGGGACCTAAGGGGTAACTTTTTCACAGAGAGGGTGATGCATGTAGGGAATGAACTGCTGGAGGAAGTGGTGGAGGTTGGTACAATTACAACATTTAAAAGGAGTCTGGATGGGCACATGAATAGGAAAGGTTGACAGGGATATGGGCCAAATGCTGGTAAATGGGACTAGATTAATTTAGGATATCTGGTCGGCATGAACGAGTTGGACCGAAGGGTCTGTTTCCGTGCTGTACATCTCTATGACTATGACTCTATCTTGGGTATACCCATCAGTTTCTGACATCCAGGGGCCCCGATTCCTTTGCTCTGTTGTGCAATTGCTTGCCAGGCCAGCATTTGTTGCCCCTCTCTAATTGTCCTTGAACTGTGTGGTTTGCTCAGTTATATCAGAGGGCAGTCAGGAGTCAACCACAGTTGGAGTCTCCTGTACACCAGAGCAGGTAAGGACAGCAAATTTCATTCCCTGAAAGACATTAGTGAACCAGGTGTTTTTTTGTTCAACAACCAGTGATAATTGTCATGGTCACCATCACTGAGATTAGCCTTATATTCTAAATTTATTAAGCAAATACAAATTCCACAAGTTGCCATGGTGGGAACTGAATTTTTCTCCACAGCTTTAGCCTGCACTTCTGCACCACTGGTCCGCTGAAATTAATACTGAGACTTAAAGCAGAGGAGATTGAGAGGGGCAAGATTGAAATGTATAAATGAAGGAGGCATAGAGAGGAGGAAACTTTTTCCCCTTGGTAGAGGGATCAATGACCAGAGAACATAGATCTAAGGGATAGGAGTTTAGAGGAGATGTGAGGAAAATGTTTTTCACCCAGAGGGTAGTGGGAATCGGGAACTCACTGCCTGAAAGGTTTATAGAAGAGAAGACCTCATAATATTTGAGAAGTATTTCAATGTGCACTTGTGATATCAAAGCACATATGGCTATGGGCCTATGGAAAATGGGCTTAGAATGGTTAGGTGGTTGTTTTTGACCAGTGCAGAGTTGATGGGCCAAAGGGCATCTTTCTGTCCTGTAGATGTCTATGATTGTGCGCCACCATCTCCTCAAGTCAACCAAAGTCTGAACCAAAGGGGGAAATGAGGTGACCTACTCACAGATTTTTCTCGTTTTTGGTGATGATATTGCATTGCCATCTACCTCAAATGACATCACCTAATGACAAAAACTCGTCAGACTTTATCTTCATGGTTAGATAGTTTATTGACGCTCAGTATCCAGGCCATGCATGAAGAATAGTCTCTAAAATAGCAGCAACAGCATTTAAATATTTGCAGAATATGTTCTGGGAGGTGGCACTCATTCCATAGGCTTTTCCAAGGTCTGTTCCTCCAATGCACAAGTAAAATTCCAGTCAGGTCCAATGTTTTTGTAATTACAATAGGAATAAATTACTGCTCATCACCCAGGGCTTGACATTTTGAGATGGAATATGACAGTTTCAGTAATGTAAGTCAAAACAGGAAGTTGAGGATTTAGTACAGCAAAGCAGAAGGAGAGGAGACAGTAAATTACTGACTTCTGTGAGGAAATAAAATCGCCTTTGAAATGAGTCACAATTTTAAATTGAAGTAAGCTGAGCTCCTCTTCACTGTCTAATCCAATAGCACGTGAAACCCATAAAAGCTCCACAACAGATTGTTGAACCTAGAGCCTGCTTTGAAACTGATGAATTAAAATTTATGTGACTTTTTTTGAAAGGTTCTCCTTGTTATGCATATTTCCATCAAAATTGCATAACTTTCAGCTTCACCTCTGTAATGGGATGGAAAGAAATATCTCCATACAAATGATTGTGAATTTACGGAACTGGGGAGGCAGAGACTGTCACTGGGCTAGTAATGCAGAGTTACAGACTAATATTCTGTTGACACAGGTTCAAATCCCACCATGGCAGATGGTGATATTTGAATTCATTAAAAATCTGGAATTAAAAAGCTGATCTAATGGTGACCATGTAACCATTTGTGGATTGTAGTACAAACCCATCTGGTTCACTAATATCCTTTAAGGATGGAAATCTGCCATCCTGACCTGGTCTGGCCTACATGTGACTCCAGACTCACAGCAATGTGGTTGACTCTCAACTGCCCTCTGGGCAATTAAGGATGGGAAATAAATGCTAGCTAACTAGAAATGCCAAGCAAATCAAAAAAAATTCACATAGTTTCTGACCCAGAGAGTTGCAGATGCTCCATCATTCAATATACTCAGGGTTGGGATCAATGGGTTTTTTAATCCCTCTGGGAGAAGGCGGGAGGGTAAAATTGAAGCAGAACGTCAGCTACCATCCTGTTGGATGACACAGCAGGCTTGATAGGTTTATAGTGTCTTGTAACAGAAAATGCTAGAAATACTCAGAGATTTGGTAACATCTGTCAAGAGAGAGACAGCTTTAATGTTTAAAGCTAATGATATTTTGCCAGGGATCAAAACACAATGAAAATTACAGGGTGTAACTTTCTGCTTAAGTTTCAGATTTCTAATGTCCATCTCAATAGATTCTTGTAAACCTGAGATCAGTATTTTTTTTTCATTCCAAAGATAGTAGAAGATGAGGATCCAAGATGTTTGAATGGTGTAGGATATGGTTCAATCGTAATCTTTTTGAAATGTGCAGGCTGTAAAGATCCTAATGCCTGGTCCAGTGACCATGATTCGGCATTCTCTTAAAGTTAACATGCAGGTTCAGTTGGCAGTTAGGAAGGCAAATGCAATGTTAGCATTCATTTGGAGAGGGTTAGAATACAAGAGCAGATGTACTGCTCAGGTTGTATAAGGCCCTGGTCAGACCGCATTTTGAATATTATGAGCAGCTTTGGGCCGCATATTTACGGAAGAATGTGCTGGTGGTGGAGGGGGTCTAAAGGAGGTTTACAAGAATGAAGGGCTCCTCACATGAGGAGCAGTTGAGGTCTCTGGTTATGTACTCAATGGAGTTTAGAAGGATGAGGGGGGAATCTGATTGAAATTTACAGAATACTGAGAGGCCTGGAGTGAGTGGGCATGGAGAGATGTTTCCACTCAGAGCTGAGGGCACAGCCTCAGAATGAAGAGACGACTCTTTAGAACTAAGATGAGGAGGAATTTAGCCAGAGGGTAGTGAATCTGTGGAACTCATTGCCACAGAGGGCTGTGGAGACTAAGTCATTGAGTGTATTTAAGATGGAGATAAAGAGGTTCCTGATTGGTAGGGAGATCAAAGGTTACAGGGAGAAGGCAGGAGAATGGGGTTGAGAAACATATCAGCCATAATCGAATGGTGGAGCAGACTGAATGGGCTGAATGGCCTCATTTTATCTCCATATGTTATGGTCTTCTCCCATTTTCAAGATTGGTATGGAGGTGGGCAGGTTAAGTTTCGATGAATTTGTTGCCCTCTCTATATAGAAAGCTCTTTGATTGCAAACCAGTTTGCTTAGAGCTAAGCAGCAATCTTTTCAGCCTTCTACAGCTCTATTAGCAACTGAACAAAATGCACAAAAAAAGAGTTTGATCCAGTGCAGCTCTATACTGCCCAAACTATTGGGCACCTGTGTTTGTGTTCTGGTTCTAGTAGATGGTAATACTGGGCAAGCCCAGTCCCATGTTACTGTGGTGGTTAGGCACTGAAACGTATTCACGGAAGGCTCCAAATATTCTATAACAAAACAAGTTTATTTCACAAAATCAAACAACGCTATGTACAGCACAGTGTAGAAAGATCTTAACATAAACAGCAAAGCAAAATTTCAACCTGGTTTCCTGCAAAATCCATTACTGATACTTAATCCCAGAAAAATCCCTATCTCAATCCTTCACTTTTTTATTCAGCTGTCTCTTTCCAGATCTCCTGTTGGAGTGCTGAGACAGTTTAATGACATCTTTCCAGTTTTGCTGCTGAACTCCCTTCTCGTTCTGACCATTTGAAAACATCTGTACAAATTCTCAAAATTTGGAAAACTGACAAACTAAAACCCTTCTGCTCATGAAACTGTTGTCCTGAACTGAAGTCCTAATTCTTCTGAGTAAAAACCGAAAGAACTGCAGATGCTGTAAATCAGGAACAAAAATGAAGTTGCTGGAAAAGTTCAGCAGGTCTGGCAGTGTCTGTGAAGGAAAAAACAGAGTTAATGTTTCGGGTCCTCTGAGGAAGGGTCACCGGACCTGAAACGTTAACTCTGTTTTTTCCTTCACAAATGCTGCCAGACCTGCTGAGCTTTTCCAGCAACTTTGTTTTTGTTCCTAATTCTTCTGAATGGAAGTGAAAGCTAAACTAGTGCACCTGTTTCCGTGTTGTACACTCAACGATATAAACATTTCATCCATTAACACATATACCGCTCAGACATTTAACTGAAACACATGTTTCCTTTGAAATGATGTATTTAAGTCACTGTTTCAAATGACTTTCTGACCCCTTAACGAAATCAGTTACTTTCACAGAACTGAAATTAAAATCCATCTGCCTCCATTGTAAAACTCAGAATTCCAAAAATGATAACGAAACCTTGTACACTTTCATCACACATGTATGAGAGTTAACTCTGATTTAAGCCTGTGTTTTTATTTTGGAATTGGTTGTGTTTAAAAGTGGACCATCTCCAAGAATAAAGAAACGAACCATAGTCTGGAGAATTAGGAACTTTCCAGGAATGGTAACCTATCAGAATGGAAAGGAAAGAGCAGTTTGGAAATATAGCAATTTTACCATAATGTGGCAGAACTAGAGGAGAAAGGGAGA